AATCATCAATGGCTGCCTCCTGCATGCCCCACACTGGGGACCGAGCCTGCAACCCAGGCATGTGCCCTGACCAGGGATCAAACCAGGACCTCCTGATTCATAGGTCGATGCTCAACCACTGAGCCACCTGGCCAGGCCAGGCCAGTAGGCTGAAGGGACTGTTGGTTCTACCTAAAGTTTTGGACAGTGACCTTTTCAATTGAGAAGCAGCCATCACAGTCTGAATTTTTAAAATTTTCTAAAAAAAAAAAAAAAAAGTGGGTGTATTTTCTTAAAGATCACACTTTTGCATAAGAAACATATAATCTTGCCCGGCCTCATGGCTCAGTGGTTGAGCATTGGCCCCAGGAACCAAGAGGTCACTGGTTCGATTTCTAGTCAGGGCCCATGCCCAGGTTGCAGGCTCGATCCTCAGGGTGGGGCGTGCAGGAGGCAGCCGATCCATGATTCTCTCTCATCATTGATGTTTCTCTCTCCCTCTTCCTTCCTCTCTGAAATCAATAAAAGTACATATTTTTTTAAAAAAAGAGGAACTGAAAAGACCCTTGAAGGAAATTAATGTTTTATAAATTCTAACACTCAATCCAGCTTTCAAGGTAGTATAGTTTTCAGGAAGCATTCCACAGGCCGGGACGATTGCAGAAGAGACGGCTCTAGTTTCCATGGTGACGGGTGTGATTAATCCTGCGTTCTACTCTGTTGGAGATGAGTTCCCTTCATCCCTGCAAAATAAGCCTAGAGCTGTTCTCTCTTTCAACAAAAGTATGTTTCTTTTTTTAAAATATGTTTTTATTGATTTTCAGAGAAAGGAAGAGAGAGGGAGAGGGAGAGAGAAACATCAATGATGAGAGAGAATCATGGATCGGCTGCCTCCTGCACACTCCACCCTGGGGATCGAGCCTGCAACCCGGGCCTGTGCCCTGACCTCCTGGTTCACAGGTGGACGCTCAACCACGGAGCTGCACCGGACGGGCGGACTTTGACATCTTAAACTTCCTCTGTCGGAATAATTTATGGCTGTGAGTCTGCACAAGGCTCCTGGCCTCCACTGCTCCGAACCTTCATACCATTGAAGAGCTTTCCTACGGCGTCCACGGGGGCAAGCCGGCCGCTGCTCGGTGGGGGCCTGCGTCTGGCCAGGCCCGTCGGCTCCAGCTCACACACGCCCTGGAGGCCAGGAAGGGCGCAGCTAGCCGGAGCCCATCCGTGCCCCAGGCCCGGGATGCAGGTGCTCAGGGCGGCAGTCCAGCCCCAGGGAAGGCCGCGCACACCCCAGGTGCTGCCGGAAAGGACGCTCCCCGTCGACAGCAGCCGCGTGGGCCCCTGTCATTTGGGAAAGACCATGTCGAGTGTCTCACAGAAGGGCTCGCGGCCCCTCTGCTCTGTGACCTGTGCAGGGAGAGAAGGTGGATGCCGGCCTCAGTCCCAGCAGAGAACACACACACTCCCCTGCTCCCGTGATCGGCACAGAACATCCTAGAACCGATAGCCAGGGATCGTGACCGAGCTTTGACAACGCAGTTACAGGAACAAAACGGGGCGTTCTGTGACTCTCAACCCCCGTGAGTAGAAAACGGTCTCTACTTGAGAGAGACGGGGGCGCGCCAGAATACGTCCAAACGGTAACCGATGACGGCGTTTCCAGTAGCAGCGCTGCCCACAGCTCACCCGGACCCGGGAGGAGCCGCCGCTTCTTTCTCTGCAGCCGTTTCCTTCCCAGGACGAGGCTGACAGGCAAAGCACAAGCTGAACCCGGAAGTTACCTTACGTTTTAAAAATACATGGTGATGAAGACATTTTTCTTACATTCATTTGAATCGATGCTCTTATTCAATATAGAATGAAACCCGGTGGGCTTCGTTTTCCCCCTGCCTTTGAAAGTCACTTCTAACAACAAACGTAGCACAGTTGCAGGCGTGGTTCTTGTGAAAATACCGTTTTGTGTAACCGTAGTAAGAATACTATTTTGTGACACCATTTGCTTCAGCTTCGTGATTTAAAGGCTGGACCCCAGGCTTCCACTGGGAGCTCATTTCTGTATGAAATTCATTGAAGACGTCACTCCTGTGTGCACCGGGCACGGAAGAGCCGTGCTAATGACTCTGGTGCACCTGCCCCCGGGAGGTGGACTGCCCTGGGCAGGGCTGCTCATCTGTGGCCGCGTCCCCATCATTTGCGGAGACAATAAATCAGTGTCCATCGCTGGCGACACACTTGGCCCAGGCGGCTCCCCTGCAGGTGGATCCTGCGTCGCCACGTCGTCTCCGGGGAGGCCGTGTGGACGGACGTGACATCCCAGGTCTGTTTTCCTGTTACATTCTCTGCTTTCCACCTTTTCAGCTTCTGTGACGTTCCCACTGGCTGCGAGGGAGCCCTTTGTCTGGGCCACACACGAGCTCGCCCGCTTAATCCCCCTCGGAGCACGCGAGCGCCCACACGTCGGGGTAATCGGCGTGTCCCCTGCTGATTTGACATTTCTATGGGAAGGCGGCCCCCGGCCCAATGATGGATGGCTTGTTCCCGCTGAACAGCAGTCAGGATGGGGAGTGCCCTGGGGGACAGACGGAGGCACTGGGAACGGGCAGTCCTGACGGCCGCGCTCGGGCACCGGACAAAGCCTCGGCCGAGAGGATTAGCCACACTCGCCTCGCCTCGCTGCGGCGAAAGCCTGTGCTCCTCGCGCAGCTGCAGAGCTCGCTCTCCGGCGGGTTCTGCACCATCATAATGAGATTTACTCTCCTCTCGCTCTCCCCTGCCTCTCGCCCTTCACACCTAGATTTTAAAAAATATATTCTCATTGATTTCAGAGAGGAAGGGAGAGGGAGAGGAGAGAGAGAGACATGAACGATGAGAGAGAACCATGGATCGGCTGCCTCCTGCACACCCCACACTGGGGATCCAGCCCACAACCCGGGCCTGTGCCCCGACCAGGAATCGAACCGTGACCTCCTGGGTCATAGGTCGACGCTCAGCCACTGAGCCATGCCGGCTGGGCGGAACTTGCTGTCATTTCACCACACTACACGCAAAAGATTAAAATACAAATTAGTTATTTCGTTCAACTTAGAAAAATGCTAGTGGAGTTTTTCTAAAATTGACTTGAAAATTCCCCAGTGACCACCCATTCTCGCTGCGAGAAATAAACTTGAAAGGGTTGGGAACGTGGCGTCCGAGTGGGCCGAATAGGCCAGGATGGAAACACAACTGCACTGGGAGCACCCCCTGGAGTCACTGACTGAGGCCCCGTGAGGCCGAGGAGGAGACTCACAGTGAGGAAGGACAGACAGACACCTGGAGGCGTAGGAAGGGTGAGGTCGTGAGGGGGGCTGACCCAGCTCCCAGGGCGGCAGGCGGAGAGCGAGGAGGGAGCGCTGGGCTGCGGGAGGGCCTGTTCCCTCAGAAGATCCAGGCCAGGACCCCAGGCTGGGCTCACACCAGAGCCGAGACTCGCGGCCCCTGTAACGTCCACCCGTGAAGGGCGGCCTGGCTGCTGGCCACGGCGGAGCCGGAGCCCGTAGACCAGAGACGGTCGGAGAGAAAGCCGCAGTTTCTTTTTTCTTTTTCCCTCTAAACCCAGAGCACAGGAGGTTCATTTGCAGCCACTGACCCGAGGCTTTGGTGCAGGGAGGGAGGCGGGACCTGAAGTGCCGGAGGAGAGGCGAGGCGGGGAGGGCAGCAGCGGGGGGGGGGGGGACGGGGACGGGGACGGGGACGAGGAAAAGCAGCAGCTGGGAGACCTGCACGTGGCCATGCAGCGTGCCCACAGCGAGCCAGTCATTCCCCTGCGAGGAGCTGAAGTGATTCCTTTTTACAATATTGCAATCGCTTCACTGTTATTGTGTTGCTATTTTTAAAAAATTTTTAAATCAAATTCAGAGAGTATTCGATGATGCCTATTTGCAAAGAGCTTTTTTAAAAAAATATTTTTTATTGATTTCAGAGAGGAAGGGAGAGGGAGATAAAAGCATCAATGATGAGAGAGAATCATTGATCGGCTGCCTCCTGCACGCCCCATACTGGGGATCGAGCCCACAACCCGGGCCTGTGCCCTGGCCGGGAATCGAACCTGACCTCCTGGTTCATAGGTCAACACTCAACCATGAGCCACGCCGGCCGGGTGCAAAGAGCTTTTTTGTTTTTTATTATAAATTAATTTTAAATTATAAGTATTTTTTTCAGTATCATTTGATATTATAATATAACTTCCCCCTTTATTTTGTTAATAAGATGATTCCCCCCCCCCATTTCTTTAATAAACGTGTTAGTTTGGGTTCTTAAGCAAATACCAAGACGGCCCCGGTGAGGTTGGGACTGCTCCAGTGAGGTTGGGACAGATAATGGGGACCAGTATAGACTAATGAACAGGGGTAGATGCAGAGACAGAGCAACACTGAACAGACTGTCAAACTACAGTGGGAAGCCTGGGGAGGGTTTGGGGGGGGGGATTAAGAGATCAACCGAAGGACTTGTGTGCATGCATATGAGAATAACCAATGGACACAAGACACTGGGGGGTAGGGGCCGGGGGAATGTCAAGGGGGGGACAAAAGGAGACATATGTAATACTCTTTGTAATACTTCAAGAAATAAAAATTATTAAAAAAAAAGAAGCAAATACCAAGAAGGGGGTAGACGTGCAGACATTTATTGGGGGAGATGGCCGAGAGGGGTAAGTGGAAGAGGGAGAGAGACCCCAGGGTCTGACACAGGTCCAAGTGTGAACCTGAAATGGACTCATCGGTTCCTCTCGCCATCCTTGGCCAGCCCTGCCCCAGGCCCCCAGCCCCCGGGACCAGGCTGCGCTGACCCCTGCGCACCTGGAGGAGGGGGGACCTGGTCCCCTTGGGCGGCTCTCGAGGCTGTCGCACCCCCAGAAAGCCTACGAGTTGTTCCGCGTCTCCGTTGGCGGTCTTGTCAGGGAGAGACGCCGGCAGATGTCGTTGCACTGCGCGTGCTGGTGGTTGAAGAAGTAGGAGATGCCCTGGCTCCCGAAGTTGGTGGTGACCTCTCTGCGGCCCAGCGAGTGGATCTGGGGGTCCGTCAGGTAGAGCAGCCCCTTCCCGTCGCCGGTCACCCAGCCTGCGGAGCAGCACGCGTCTGAGGGCGAGGCCCCTGGGGCGTCCAGGACGCGTCCCAGAAAAAGAGTTAGGTGCTTAACAAAACACGGAGAGCCCACGTAATGGCGTTCTGCTGAGCGAGCGGGTGTTACGCGCCAACGATGGCTTGAGGGAGAAGTGAATATTGGATCATTAAGTCCATCTCCTATCGATACCCAAAGGAATGGTTTTCAAGGCACCGGAGAGCAATAAAACGCACCCGCATTGTGACCAAAATCACAGGATTGGATCTTTCTTTCGTGGTTCACACGTTTCTTTGGTGCCTCAGTGGTTAATGTATCTTCGTTTGTGTGAGAAATAGTTAGCGAGCGCAGACACTGTACAGAGCACAGTGCTCGGCCCGGGCCCTGCGACGGACAAGCTTGTCGCGACCTGAGTGCTCGCGGGGCTAACGCTGTGGACGGGGCAGGTGGGTAAGCGACCTGAGTAAGTATAACACCCGTGTGACAGAGCGTGAGGACAGGCCCTGTGGGAAGGACAGAGAGGACCAGGGTGGTCCTAGGATTAATGATCATAAATCTCATGTATCATTGAAACAAACATTAGCCCTGGCCGGTGTGCTCAGTGGATAGAGCGTCCGCCTGCGGACTGAAGGGTCCTGAGTTCAATTCCCAACCAGGGCACCTGCCTGGGTTGTGGGCTTGATCCCCAGTAGGGGGTGTACAGGAGGCAGCTGATCCATGACTCTCCCTCATCATGGAGGTGTCTCTCTCCTTCCCTCTCCCTTCCTCTCTGAAGTCAATAAAAATATTTTTAAAAAGCAAGTGCAGAGTTTTGGCTAATAAATTCTGATAAATAATATACGAGATGAACGGAAACAAAATTAAGACATGAATGCAGAGAACGTAAAGGAACTCAGACTGAAGCACTCGCAGCTCTCTGTGCCCGGACGAGGACAAGCAGGTGTCTGGGGCGCCTGCTCTGCTCCACGCTGGGCGGCAGCTCTCTGTCCCCGGACGAGGACAAGCAGGTGTCTGGGGCGCCTGCTCTGCTCCAGGCAGGGCGGCTGCACCCCCGCGTCAGGATGCCTGCAGCCTCGCACAGCGCTGGAGGCGGAGGCGCAGGGAGGAGAGCGGTGGGGGGGGGGGTTCACCCTCGGAAACTTAGAAAGCCAGTGCGTGTGCTCCCCGACTCAGCCTCCCAGGAGGGGACCCCCGTCTCTTCGTGGATGAGTGGATGTCTTAGGGACGTACAGAACCTCGAGGCATTTTTTCAGGCATCATTTGCTCCCCAGGGTCAAATCGATCAATCGATTAATTAAATTTTTTATAAGTCAAGTCACCGTTTTATTCGTGCGTGTTTTTTTTTTAATTGGCGAGATGCACATTTGTTTATTTAATTATTTTTTTAAATATATATTTTATTGATTTTTTACAGAGAGGAAGGGAGAGAGATAGAAACATCGACGAGAGAGAAACATCGATCAGCTGCCTCCTGCACATCTCCTACTGGGGATGTGCCCGCAACCCAGGTACATGCCCTTGACTGGAATCGAACCTGGGACCCCTCAGTCCGCAGGCCGACGCTCTATCCACTGAGCCAAACCGGTTTCGGCAAATTATTTTAAATATTTTTTAAAAGTTGGTTTCAGAGAGGAAGGGAGAGAGAGAGAATAGAAACATCAACGATGAGAGAGAATCACTGATCGGCTGCCTCCTGCTCGCCCCACACTGGGGATCGAGCCCGCAACACGGGCATGTGCCCTTGACCAGAATTGAACCCGGGACCCTTCAGTCCGCAGGCCGACGCTCTAGCCACTGAGCCCAACCAGCCGGGGCTCAAATAGACTAATTTAATTGCAAACAGGCACTGCACAATCTGTTAAAGAGTGGTTGGCGGAGGTAGCTGCGAAACCTCACACGTACACGCGAACAACACGAAACAGGAAGAGTAAGCCCCTTGCACGCACCTTGTAAGTCTACCACGACATCCCTGTGGTTGGAAAACTCGTAAGAAAAGTGGCCGAAAGCCAAGCCGTATTCGGTGGCTTTGTACTCGGTCTTCGCCACTTGCGTGTTATTGGATAATTTCACAAACTCCCCCAGTATGTAAGGCTCCACGCTGACACACCCTTTTATCGTCTTGTCCTCTAAAATCTGAAAAACAGAAGCGGGAGGCGTGTGATGTACGGCGAGGGCACGGGCGAGGGGACGGGCGATGGTCTGTGAACCTCGGCTTTGCCGATCGGGAGAATGGCGACTAGACCTGGTTTCCTTGTCTGCATGCGAGGTGCCTAACGTTGATGGAATACCATAGAACCCAACGTTATTATTCTATCACTGAAATGCTCCTGTCAAACTTGGGCCGTGATGTTTTCTTTTTTATTTTTTTAAATATTATTTTTAATGATTTCAGAGAAGAAGGGAGAAGGAGAGAGAGAGAGAAAAACACCAATGATGGGGGAGAATCATGGATCGGCTGCCTCCTGCCCGCCCCACAATGGGGATCGAGCCTGAAACCCGGGCCTGTGCCCTTGACCAGAATTGGACCCGGGACCCTTCAGTGTGCAGGCCAACCTCTAGTCACTGAGCCAAACCAGCCAGGGCTCATCATTGATGTTTCTGTCTCTCCCTCTCCCTTCCTCTCTGAAATCAATAAAAATATATTAAAAAAGAGAAATCTGACCTAAGAGGCACCCATGGGCCTGTCACCCCAGCCCCGCCTGCGTCCGTCTCACCAGCAGCGCCGCGGAGGGGACGTAGAAGATCTGGGTTGGGATCTGCTGCTCATAAAGTCGCTTGTTGAATTCCGTGACGTAGTGCTGGGCGGTCGCCTGGCGCTCCACGTCGGCGAAGTGCGGCCACAGCGCCTTCGGCTCCTTATACTCCTTCCCAACGTACCTACCACCGTTAGACAGAACCGCCAGGTGACCTCCCCGACGAGGGGGCCTTCCCAGGTCCGGCTCCACGCGGGGGTCTCCGAACCTGTCCCCTCCCTGCCCCGCCCTCCGGGCAGGCGCCCAGGCTGCATGCTCAGGCCCGCACCTGGGCTGCCTCACC